CAGTTATAAATGAAAGTATATCTGAATTTATAGACTCCTAGATATTTTTATATAATTTCTAGAACATCCACTTTAATATGCATACATAAATGATTATTTCTTTATTTGACAAAACTTCCCATGTATTGTAAGCATAAAATTTGCTTTATAGAGAGAAAACAAGTCCTTAAGGTATTCCAAGGCTTGTCCAATTCTAGGTCAAGAAAAAGTTTCTTAAAATTCAGACTTTTAAAGAAAGTTTGAAAGTTATCAAACATATTTGACCAAAAGATTGTATATTAATTATTATGATGAAATAGTATTAAATTATGAATTCATTCAAAGTAACAACAAAAGGATATTAAGCCGAAACCGGTTTGGCTCAGTGGTAGAGCGTCGGTCTGCGGACTGAAAGGTCCCGGGTTCTATTCCGGTCAAGGGCATGTACATTGGTTGCGGGCACATCCCCTAGAGGCAGCTGGTCGATGTTTCTCTCTCATCGACGTTTCTAGCTCTCTATCTCTCTTTCTTCCTCTCTGTAAAAAACCAATAAAATAAAATTTTAAAAAAGGATATTAAACACAAACATAGGCTAATAAAACTCCAGTTCCTATGATTAAGAAGATGGCTTTTTTTTAAGTAATCAGTTACATGATTAATATAACAATATATAACCATTTCAATACTTTGCAGAAGTTTTGCTTCCTAGGCAAATACAGAAAAAGCTATTTTCCTTTTAGTAGACTGTAAAAAGACCAAATTCTTTATTAGTTTACTATAAATCATATATCTAATTAAGTGTATTATTCAGTTTACCTACAGATTTTTTTTCTTCTTCCTTCATAGAATTTGTTTTAAACTTGCACAGACCCTCTGCAATTTTCCTAGTCCCTTTCAGTTTTTTTTTTCCTTCTTCTTAACTCGTTCAGAAATAACCAACTTCAGAACCATCTCTTTTCAATTCCATATAACCAAAACCATATAATTTCCAGTGTAATTAAAATTTTAATTATTAGAAACCTTAACCTTTTTGGTAATAAGTAATTAACATTCCTCAGATTAATAATGCATTCACATTTTTAAGAAATCTATTTAAATAAACGACAAGACATGTTCATTAACAGATTCAAAGCCAAACATAGGCAAACTTATATTAATACTAGTGGCCCTGTGCACAAATCCATATGCAAGTAGCTTGCTGCCTCTTGCCTCAGCTGGCCGCCCCACCCATCACTGCTTGTAGCTCTCTGGGTACCTAGCTTGCTGCCCTGCCCTCCTGCTGATCAGTCATTATGTGTCACAGCATAACAACCATTTGCATATTACCTCTATTATATAGGATTTCAATGTCCTATCATTTCAAAATACTTAGATATTTAATAATTTTTAATATTTAACACAGCAAAACTCCAAAGTTCTAAGTTACCCAAAGACTTTGGAAAACTATGTTTAGGTGTATATAGTTAATACTGAAAAGCTTTATAAAAATCCTTCATTCTAGCCTGGCTGATGTGGCTCAGTGGTTGACAATCAATCTATGAACCAGAGGTCATCAATTCCCAGGAGGCTGCATGCAGGGGGCAGCCAATCGATGAGTCTTTCTCATCATTAATGTTTCTATCTCTCCCTCTCTATTCCTCTCTCTGAGATAGAAACATTTTTTTAGAAACCCTTCATTTTAGTTATATCTATTTATTATGTCTTAACAAATTTATGAGATTTTAAAACCAATTATTACCCAAGGTATTTTCTTGGCAAATTTTGTAACAGATAAGATGACTTTGACAATTTTTAGGGGGCTGGGGAAAAGGGGAGGGGTGGGACCAGAAGGAGATATCAGACTCTGCAGTTGTTTCCAAGACTGCAACAACTCCAGCTTTAATGTGAAAGCACCATTTTTTTTTTTCTTTTTTCTTTTCCAAGGAGGCTGCTGCTTCTGCAGCCAGCTTGAGGGCTCTTCTGCAGCTCCAATCCTTCTAGGAGAAAGACTTGTTGGTTAAAAGGTTTATGTCCATATTTTCCTTCCTGAGTAGAATCATTGTGATGCAACAACATGGAAATCTTGCATATTAGAAGAGATCTTGTTCTATTTCAAAACAGAAACAAAAAACAACCTCTAAATTAAATAAATGGTTATTCTCAGAAGGTGGGACTGGGGGATTAGCCTGAGAATCTTACTTCACATTTACCCGGCAAGGCAAATGACCATCTTGCTCTTTGGTCTGAGGGTCTGAAGGATCTGAGCGGTGGAAAGCCCAAACAGCAGGGACAGGGGGTTTCCTGTGTTCATAAAACAGAGGAGCGAACTAAGTCCCCAAAAGATAAGAAAGCAAGCAAAGAACATCAGAACCAAAGTTACATTTCAGACAGACAAGAGCTATTACCAGCTACACGTTTCAGGTGGCCGATGCCTTGGGAAGGGAGAGCAGGGAGGGTGTCCGAGATTAAGAACTCCAGGCAGCTGCTGGGAAGTTCCTGCAATCTTTGCTATGGGTTCAATCTGCCACAAGCAGCTGAGGTCCCCAGCCAAGTGGGATATGCCCCATCTTTAAACAAATTAAGCCAAACAACAGAGACACTCTTAAGTACAATATTTACAGGCGTGCACAACCCACAGACAAGAGCTTTACACCATGCTTCTTACCTACCCAATCACAGAAACCTCAGAATGCCCTGCTCTTATAAAAACAAAAACACTGAAGCAAAGCAATGTCTCTCATCCCAGAGAAGATCAGGCTACGAGCTTGGAGACTAGGCAAGGACCGATAGAGGTCTTTTGCCTCCCAGAGCTGATCAAGCTTGTCCAGACCAGAGGCAGTAAATGCCTCCCATACCATACACAGCAAATGCTTCCAGTGCCTTACAAAGAAGCTCAGACAAGAGGCAGCAAATGCTTTTCATGTCATACAAAAATGCTTGATTCAACTTAGGACTTAGGTGAGATGGCAAGGATTGCTGAGACTGTGACTGGGACTCAAGACAAGAAAATTCCTGGCAGTGCTGCAAATAGAGTCCAGGCTTCCTGGTCCAGACAGCAAGTGGATTCCCCTGTATTCACCCAAAGGAGTCCACCTCTTGTGATGTCACCAGAAAATGGAACCTTTGTTTTTAAATGAGAAAACAAATAAATTACTTTGGAATAATGTTAAGCAATGGAAAAGGCATAATAGAGAAATAGTTTCAAGAGAGACAAATCAATATTCAGTTTACATTTTTAGACTGTCTGGTTTTGTCAGATTCCTTAGAAATTCTAGTATCAATCAACTAGTATCTGGGATTCTAGTTTGCACTGATGAATCTTGTCTGTGCTCAGATGGGAGACATTTAAATAGGACACATGAGCACCCATAGACGACAGTGATTCAGTGGAAACTTGGACCAAGGTGGGCAATGCAAGGGATTGTTGATGGTGCAGGTTGCCGGGAGGCAGGGGGAGACTTTTAGCACTGTTAGGTCATCTCTAACTTACAAGGTGAAAGAAATACATAAGGTCTTTGTGAAAATGTAATGTGATATGTTTGCCCACTAGTACCAGACACATTGTAAGTGCTCAACAGATTTTAGCCATTATTTCTAAGAGCAATTCATGAGGAATAGGAAAAGGAGACATTGTTAGAGGCAGGGGAAATCAGGGAGGAGGCCTTCCTGAACACGTGAAGCTTGAACAGAATCTTAAAGGACCAGTAGAGATGAAGGATTCTAGGTCAGAAAAACAGCTTGAGCAAAAGTGGTACAAACAAATGTGTAATACAAGTCAGGAAGACTGAAGAGACCTGTCTGATGAGAGGGAGGGGCGTGTTTATATTTTAGGAAAGGCTAGAGATAGCAGGGTCTGATGACCGGGGGGTGTTTGAACTTGATGTGTTACAGCTGGCAGAGGGAGTAGAAATCTAGGAAGCATTAGTGAGCCAGACACAGGTGGTGAGTGCCTTGTCTAGGATAGGGACAGTGAAATTGTAGAAAGGGTAGGTTGGTTTCTGAAAAAGCACTGATTGATTTGGTGACTTGATTAGATATAGAGAAGGATGCATGAGAAGTGGCCATTTTGGAAACTGGCTTTCTTTCAAGATGTGCCCTGTGTTGGCTGAGGACCCAGGAGTCTGTTGGGGGGGATGTGTGTGTGTGTGTGTCTGTGTGTGTCTGTGTGTGTCATAGATAGCATTAAGATACCAGGTATCCATTTATACCGCGCGCACGCTTTAATATATTTTTATTCATTTCAGAGAGGGAGAGCAAGATACAAACATCAATGATGAGAATCATTGATTGGCTGCCTTCTGTATGCCCCCTTCTGGGGATTGAGTCTACAACCTAGGCATGTGCCCCTGACCGGAACTGAGCATCCGCGGTGGACCAAACAAGCCAGGGCATCTGTTGGTTTTAGGATCACTTGTGGGATGGGGAGGGAGCAGTACATTTTGTTGCTGTTTGTGTTCATTGTTTAGCAAACTATACGTAGCTTCCAGGGAATCTTTAAACTTTTTTACCCTGGAATTCAAGGGATAGGAAATTACCCTATTGATGGGAGCCTGAAAATGCCAGGAAAGCCATGTTTGTCTCTTACCAAGATAGGCCTGGTGTTAGAAGGCTTTTTCACATTCTCTACATCCCAGGCCCACCGCTTACTTAGGCTGTGTAATCTTGGATAAATTCTCTAATTCCTCTGTGCCTCAGTTTCTTTATCTATAAAGTGAGGTCTTAATAGTACCTCAGTAATAGTGATTATGGTATTTAAGTGAATGACTATATATAAAGCAACTAGAACAATGACTAGAAATAATAAGCATTAAGTGTGTATTCACTATTAATAATATCGCCACTCCCTCTTTTTAAATGAAAATTCTGAAAAAAGTCCAGAAGTCCAGAGTAGCTCTCTTGCCCAGGACTAGCTTAGTTTTATAAATGGATATCCTCTCATCTTAATGTCACATACAAAGAGATGAGTGGCCAGGTTGCTCTCAGAATTTCTGCTCTTACATTGAGTCCCTTAATCTTTGCTATATTCTTGTCCGCCTATGCAGGTGATTTTCTATGATAGCGACTGGAACCCCACTGTGGACCAGCAGGCCATGGACAGAGCCCACCGCTTGGGGCAGACAAAGCAGGTTACCGTGTACCGGCTCATCTGTAAAGGCACCATTGAAGAACGCATTCTGCAGAGAGCTAAGGAGAAGAGTGAGGTGAGCATGAAGCAGAGGCAGTACTACACAGTGAAGAAAATACAAAGTTCCACTCCATTGACTAGACTTGAGACTCTTGCCTTTTGTTGGTCTAAAGGGGCTGAACTTTTCCTGAATGGTAAATAAAATCAGAAAGGAAAAATTAAAGAAGAAAGAAAAAATCAGGTCCTATTATAATAGTAATCTCTTACTGCCCTGCCTCTTTCTCACTCCTTTTCTGTCAGAATGGAGTTTATCGCCTAGATCTAGCTGTCGTTCATGTGGAGAGGATACCAATCATAGCCTTCATGTATGTCTTGCTTTCACAAGCTCTCGCCCTGGTACTCTCAGTTTGATCAGGTTCTGAATAATAGGCCAGACTTGTCAATTTCCAAAGAAATTGTCATCTCTCTTTGGAAAGGAATAAATAATCCAGACTATCCAGTCAGCATCATGAAAAAGGAAATAGGGGTCCGGGGGCTTCCGGACAGAAGGAGAAACATGCTTCTTTCTGCAGAGGTTTGCCACCATGAAATAGGTGCTGGGTGTGACATTTTGATCTGCTTTTGTGTAGATTCAGCGGATGGTGATTTCTGGTGGGAACTTCAAACCAGATACCTTGAAACCAAAAGAGGTGGTTAGTCTTCTTCTAGACGATGAAGAATTGGAAAAGAAACGTATGTACTCTAAACCTCTTATCAGTGTTCTCTCCTCCCTACAAAAGATGTTTCTCTGGCCCACACATCTGAAAATGGAAGAGACCCTTGGCTGTGTGCCAAGGATAGGCAAAGCCAAAGACTGTATTTGGGAGGAAATATTTTTATGTTAATACTAGAGGCCCAGTGCACACAATTCATGCACGGGGCAGGGAGGGAGGGTGTCCCTCAGCCCAGCCTGCACCCTCCAATCTGGGACCCCTTGGGGGATGTCCAACTGCCAGTTTAGGCCTATTCCTGTGGGATTGGGTTTAAACTGGCAGTCGGACATCCCTCTCACAATTCAGGATTGCTGGCCCCTAACTGCTCTCCCCTGTAGGCTCAGTCACCCCCAACTTCCCTCCCCTGTCAGCCTGGTCACCCCAAACTGCCCTACCCTGCAGGCCTAGTTGCCCACACTGCCCTCCCCTGGTGGCCATCTTGTAGTGGCTAGCTTCTGATCACATGGGGGCGGTCATCTTGTGTGAGGGTGTGGTGGTCAATTTGCATATCACCTCTTTATTATATAGGATTAGAGGCCTGGTGTACAAAACTTGTGCAAGAGTAGCTCTGCCTTCTCCCAGCTGCCGGCGACGCCTTCCTTCTGGCCGCTGGCAGGCACCCAGGCTTCCTCGCAGCCGGGGCTTCGCCTAGAAAGTTGTCCAGAATGACGTCTTGTCTAATTAGCATATTATGCTTTTATTATTATAGATATTAAAACCAAAATAAAGATGTATTATGGAGTAGAAGGTAAAATTTCCATATATTTTTAAGTAAATTTGCACCAGGAAGGCTATATTTCTCAACTCCTCAGCAGAAATAAATTTACTGTGTTCTGCCCAGAGAAATCTTTTTATGGGAGAAGATGAAGAAGCACACTGCTGTAACATATAAACCATTCTCCCATGTATTACTGGCTTTTGAGAATAGTGGGTTTCAGACTCACCTTGTGAGCCTCTGAGGACTACGTAGCATCACATAACGAAGCTCCTTTCTTATGTGCTTCATTTGCCACCACCTTCTAAAACCCTTTCAGACTCAAAATCACACTTGATCTGTGCAATGCAGAGATATTGAATGACTGAAAGAAAAGAGCAAAGGCAAGGAAAGGTCCATCATAGTTAAACTGAATCATGGATTGAACCAAAAACTGTTAAAAATCCAAGAACTGCCCTAGCCAGTTTTGCTCAGTGGATAGAACGTTGACCTCCGGACTGAGGGTCCCGGGTTGGATTCTGGTCAAGGGCACATGCCCGGGTTGCGGGCTCGTTCCCTCGTTGGGGGTGTGCAGGAGGCAGCCAATCAATGATTCTCCCTCATTGATGTTTCCATCTATCTCTCTTTCCCTCTCTATTCCTCTCTGAAATCAATAAAATTTAAATAAATAAATAAATAAATAAATAAATAAAAGAATCCAAAAACTATTTCTTCTCCAAGTTAGAAAACCACCGGTTATCTGACTTGGAGAGATAGAAGATATACTTTGGAATATAAATATCAAAGGATATTAATTATCATTTCGTTTTTGTGGTTGTTTTTTTTTTTTTTTTTAAGATTTTTAAAATTGATTTTTAGAGAGAGAGAAATACTGATCTGAAAGTGCAACATCGGCTGCCTCTTGCTGCCTCTTGCATGCCGCCCTCCCAGGGATCAAGCCTGCAACCCGGCCGTCTGCCCTGACTGGGAATTGAATCAGCAACCCCTCAGGGCACAGATGATGCCCAACCAACTGAGCCACACCAGCCAGGACAGGATATGGTCACTTTAATTTCAAAATGAGAATTATGATTGCCTCAGATACTTCATCAGATTTTGATTTTCTTGATAGTACGATTGCGGCAAGAAGAGAAACGGCAGCAGGAAGAAACCAACCGAGTCAAAGAGCGCAAGCGCAAGCGGGAGAAGTACGCAGAGAAGGTATCTCAGGTCTGGGCGGCTGGCAAGGTGGTGGGGTGAGGCAGTGCCTATAGAAGAGGCTTCGGAGTACGTGGCTTTCCCTCTGGGTTACTGGTTGGTTATACAGCTCCAGCTGTGCGTTCTATTTTTACTGATATTAAGAGGTTATTAGATCCAGTCCTTCTACCATGATTCTGCTAGCGTACCATTCAGTGTCCTCTGCCACTGGAAAAATAAATCTCTGGCCAGCTTAGTGTGTACATATCCCTTTCTACAATTTATGCCAAGGATTCGAGCTGTTTGTCTCCCTTATTTCAGGAGTTTTGACTCATTTATTATATGTCCAAGGGCAATTGGTTTTATAATACTACCTTCTAGTAAGTTATTTTTTTGGTGGGTTTGGCTTATCTTTGGTTGTACTGCCCTCCTCATCTTCCCCAGCCCTGCTTTGCCCCCACTCTTGAACAAGTTAGCCCCTGAGCTTCAGGCATCTTGGTAGCTTTGGGCCCTCAAGCCTGACAATTGCACACTCCCCATTTCCTGGACTCCTTGGTTTATCTGAAGCATATTGATTGGTTAAAGTCGATGTTAAACATGTTAAAATTGTTGTTTTAAGTGGAGGTCAGCTTCTTTCCTTTACCCACACTTGTATTGGACCTCGTGTCCCTCAGGGCCATACTGCCTCGATAGTCAGCAGCTTAAGAGCCTGTGTATATTATATTATATCATCTCCCAGGAGGTACACTAGCTCTTTCTGTTGTAAAGCCCACACCCTAGATTGTACCTTCTGCTCAGCAGCACTGTTTTTAGCCTGAAGGATGCCCCCGTTACAGTTTGTACCCACTATGGTTCCAAACCTGACAAGTCCCAGAAATGAAGGATCATGTTCCTGCTTAGCCTGGCTGCCATCTCTACCCAGTTCCTCAGATTCTCTTGTATGACTCCATCCTCAAATCTCTAACCCATTACTTAGTGCTATTTAGAATTAAAATGTTGTTAACATTCAGAAACAATATCAAAGGAGGGGAGATTGTTTTCCCAGGAAGGACATTGTAGGGTTTACTGGGTTTGCATCAGGTGCCATCCCTACTCTGAGCACAGAAGTTTCAGATAAAGACCCAGTGACAATATGACCTACACAAAGATATACCTTTTGTTGTTAAGCTTCACCCTTGGGTATTTTTCTATTGATTGTTAGAGAGAGTGGAAGGGAGAGGGAGAGGCAGAGAGAAACATTGATGTGAGAGAGAGACATGGATTGCTTGCCTCTCGCATGTGTTTCACCCGGGACCAGGGATCAAGCTGCAACCGAGGTGAGTGCCGTGATCAGAAGTGAACCTTGGACACTTAAGTCTGCAGGCAGATCCTCTATCCCCTGACCCACAACAGCTAACGATATACCGTATTAACCCTGATACAGCTTCAGAAACAAAAGCAGTTAAGTGGATGTGAGTCCCAGAATTTTCCAAGCACATTGTGTGATCGACTCCAGGTCCCTAATAATTAGACCTGCTAAGTGGAGCCCAGTCACTAACTCCTTAAGCTTTTTACATGTAAAGTGAGGAAATAATGACCAAAAAATAACAAGAACAAAAAAATACATTATTCCTTGTGTATGGTAAGAACCTTCATTCTCTTTATGCATATTTAAAATGAAGGCAGAGTCCTAACTGGTTTGGCTCAGTGGATAGAATGTGGACTGAAGGGTTCTAGGTCCATTCTAGTCAAGGGCATATACCTTGGTTGTGGGCACATCCCTAATGGGAGGTGTGCAGGAGGCAGCTGATCGGTGTTTCTCTCTCATCGATGTTTCTAGCTCTCTGTCCCTCTCCCTTCTTCTCTGTAAAAAATCAATAAAATACATTTTTAAATAAATAAAAATAAAATAAATGAAGGCAGAGTAAAAACAGATGTGCAGAAAATATGCTAAAGGCATTAGCCCTCTGTCTTGTGAGACCACATCAGTGCAACCCCCTGAGAGTGCTGCAGCTTGGATACACGCACCAGAGCTGGCTGTGCACTGTGCCCTGTGAGGATTAGGCTTGGTGCAGCTTTCAGTGTGACTAACCTGCCTTTAAACTCTGTATTATTGTGGTAGAATATACATGAACTTTTTTTTTTTTTTTTTTTTTACAGAGAGGAAGAGAGAGGAATAGAGAGTTAGAAACTTTGTAGCTGCCTCCTGCACACTCCCTACTGGGGATGTGCCCGCAACCAAGGTACATGCCCTTGACCGGAATCGAACCTGGGATCCTTCATTCTACAGGCCGATTGTTTTCCCAGGAAGGACATTGGCTCGGTCCACTGAGCCAAACCGGTTAGGGCTACATGAACTCTTCTTTTAAAAAAGAAAATTTTTATTGATTTCAGAGATGAAGGGAGAGAGAGAGAAACATCAGTGATGAGAGAGAATCCTTGATTAGCTGCCTCTTGCCCACACTGGGGATCGAGCACTCAACCTAGGCATGTGCCCTGAATTGAACTGTGACCATCTCGTTCATAGGTCCACGCTCAACCACTGAGCACACCGACTCGGCTATATGAACTCTAAACCATCCCTTACCTGCTTCCTTAAGAGTTTTTTTTCCTTGCCAAATCTGGTTTGGCTCAGTGGTAGAGCGTTGGTCTGCGGACTGAAAGGTCCCAAGTTCGATTCCGGTCAAGGGCATGTACATTGGTTGTGGGCACATCCCCGATAGGGAGTGTGCAAGAGGCAGCTGGTCGATGTTTCTTTCTCATCGATGTTTCTAGCTCTCTATCTCTCTCCCTTCCTCTCTGTAAAAAATCAATAAAATATATTTTTTTTAAAAGTTTTTATTTTTCCTTACAAATACATAAATTACAAACAATGAAATTTAATTTTGAAGTCAAATTTCTTCCCTGATTCTGCCTTTCTTTTGGTGTATATCCTCACGCTTTGTCCATATGTCTTGTTTTGTGTGTTCCCAGAAAAAAAAAGAAGATGAATTGGATGGGAAGAGGAGAAAGGAGGGTATGAACTTGGTGATCCCATTTGTTCCCTCGGCTGATAACTCCAACCTCTCTGCTGATGGGGACGATTCCTTCATCAGTGTAGACTCAGCTATGCCCAGCCCTTTCAGTGAGGTGAGTCTCCTTTTAGATGCCTTCATCACATCAGGGGGACTGTCCTGACCTCATAATCTCCTGAAGTATTCCTCCCTTTTAAAAGGGGTTGCACATAAAATTCATAAGAAAAAAAGCAAATGAGGACAGGCTGGCTTCTCAGGAGTTAAAGCAGGGACCTAACCCTCAGGGGTTAAAGCAGGGTCCTAACCCTCAGGAGAAGCCAGGAGGAGAGGTGAAGAGTGGCAAGAAGCACGCCCTCACAGAGGTAGGTCGGGCGCTGGGAGGAGTAGTGATCTCAACCCTTCCTCCTCTAGATCTCCATCAGCAGTGAGCTGCACACCGGCTCCATTCCGCCTGACGAGAGCAGCAGTGACATGCTGGTCATTGTGGATGACCCAGCCTCTTCAGCCCCTCAGTCTCGAGCCACCAACTCTCCCGCTTCCATCACAGGCTCTGTCTCGGACACCGTGAACGGTAAGTGGTGCTGCTGTCCCTTACAACTCGGGCCTGGGCCACTGCCTCAAGAAAAGTGTTGGTTTAGTTGTGGGATGAGGTCCTGATTCCTTCTAGGATAATGGTTTTTGGTGTGTTTTTTAAAAATAAATTTTTATTGTTCATATTATTACAAATGTTCCTTTTTCCCCCCTCCTCCATTGCTCTCCTCCATCAGGTTCCCACCCCACCCTCTGCCCTTTCCCCACCCCCCATTGTCCTCAGCCATAGGTGCACAGTTTATGTTCAGTCTCTTCCCACATCCCCCTCTCCCCTTTTCCCCAAGAATCATCAGTTCACTCCCCTTCCATACCTCTGATTCTATTATATTCAACTGTTAATATTGTTCGTCAGATTTTTTTTTAATTTCCTTGGTTTTTAGATTTACTTGTTGATAGTTACATATTTGTTGTTCATAATTTTTATCTTCATTTACTTTCTCTTCCAAAAGAACCCCCTTCAGCAATTCATATAATCCTGGTTTGGTGGTGATGAACTCCTTTAGCTTTTTATTATTAGTGAAGCTCTTTATCTGACCTTCGATTCTGAGTGATAGCTTTGCTGGGTAGATTATCTTTGGCTGTAGGTTCTTATTATTCATCACCTTGAATATTTCTTGCCATTCCCGTCTGGCCTGGATGGTTTCTGTTGAGAAATCAGCTGACAATCGTATAGGTGCTCCTTTATAGGTAACTACCTTCTTTGCTCTTGCTGCTTTTAATATTCTCTCTTTGTCTTTTGCTCTTGGAATTTTAATTATGATATGTCTTGGTGTGGTCCTCTTTGGATTCCTTTTGTTTGGAGTTCTGTGTGCTTCCTGGACTTGTAAGTCTAATTCTTTCACTAGGTGGGGGAAGTTTTCTGTCACTATTTCTTTCAGTATTTTTTCGATATCTTGCTCTCTCTCATCTTCTGGGACCCCCATAATTCTGATGTTGGTTCGCTTGAAGTTATCCCAGAGGTTTCTTACATTATCTTCAATTTTCTGGATTCTCTTGCCTTCTTGCTTCTGTGGAGGAGTGTCTTCTGGCTCTTTATGTTCCAAATCTTTGACTTGATTCTTGCGATCTTCCATTCTGTTTTTAGGACTCCGTATAATATTTTTTATTTCAGACCATGTATTCTTTATTTCTTGTTGATCCCTTATCATTTCTTGTTGATTCCTTATTAATTCTAGTTGATCCCTTTTCATATCCTCGTAGATCTTATCGACCTTTTCTAGGAAATTCTTGAAAAACCTTATAAGCGTAGATTTGAACTCTATATCCAGTCGCTTTTTGTCCTCCATTTCTTTCGTTTGTGATCTATTTCGTTGTCTCGACATTTTTGCAGCTTCCCTGATGGGGCGGGGTTTCAGGGTGGAGCCTGCAGCCTTGGCTTCCGTCAGCCCGCCCTAAGCAGTTCCTGAGTCTCAGTATTCCTCAGGGTCCTTCAGTACTCGCTGCAAGCACCTCTGAGAGAAAGGTGCCCTTGATTTTCGCCTGCTACCAAACAGTCTAGGCTCTCCCCCAATGAGCCCAGAACTGGGATTCAGTTCAGTTGGAAGTGGAGTTGGAGGTGGCGTTCAGAGCAGTCTGGAGCCCCAGTCTCCTTCCCGCCAGGGCAATCCCGCGGCACAGTCCACTGTCCCTTCTCTGCGCGCAATGTGCCTGCCTCTGGGACCTCCTTTTGCCACTCCCCCAGGGTTCCGCCTTACAGCCCAGCTCCTTCTGTGTGAGTCTGGGTCCCCAGGGTCTGGCCTAGAACTGGGGTTCAGAGCAGTTGGAACTGGGGCCCAGCAGTTGGAGGTTTTATCTCCTTCCCGCTAGGGAACGCCAGCCAGGCACTCAGCTGCCCCTCCTCTCCGGCTCCGTCCTCTCCGCGCGCCGCGTGTCTCCGTACCTCAGGCTTTTACAGCTCCTCTGCGCTTCCTTCTGGTTTTCTCCTTGCTTTTCGTTGTAGAATTTCCAGTCGACTTTCCTGTAGTTCTGGGTAATGTCCGTTTTATATTTTAGTTGTATTTTATTGAAATTGTTGTGTGCGGCTGTGGCTAGGTGTTTACCTGTGCAGCCATCTTGGATTCTCCTTTACCTCCAAAATGACTTTTTTTACCCAAGGATATGTTCCCACTGATTTTTGGAGAGAGCTGGCAGGACAGCGGCATCCCCGGCTTGGATAATGGTTTTTATGCTTCCTTTAAAGAAGAGTAGAATGAAGCAAAAAGAATTTGTAAGCTCATTCATTAGCCCTGTCAAATGAAAGGAAAAAAGAGAAAGGTTAGGAAAAGCAAAATAAGAATTTTATAAAGGTTTCACACTTCCTTGTTTTCTAGTCTTCCCAGTCTTTCATATTTCACCCTTATTTCTGCTAGTTTAGTTAGCTTTGCTGGGCCTTTCCTCGCTTTGTTCTGGGCGCAGGCTTCTGTGTCTCGAGAAGCTCTAGGGCTAAGCTTGGGAGTAAAGACTGACTTTCCGAGGCGGGCGCATTGGAGTGAGCAGTGGGTCTCAGGTAGCCAGCCCCGGGGCTCGCTCAGTAATGATCTCATTGGAGAAGAGATTCGGGAGTAATGGAACCACTCCTGAGGAGTCGGCCTGTTTCAGCCAATGACTCACTCTGTGTGACTTGGTGGCCCAGCCATTAAATGAGGACATGGACTTCCCTTGAAATCCTGAAACAAACGCCCTTAGAGCCAGCCTTCCCTGTCAGGGAAGATTCTGTTAGCGTATGAAGAGATTGACATTTTTCCTCTTGGCCCATGTGTTTCCACAGGAATTTCCATCCAGGAAATGCCAACCGCAGGGCGTGGCCACTCAGCCCGAAGCCGAGGCCGCCCCAAAGGTTCAGGGAGCACAGCCAAAGGGACAGCGAAAGGCCGGAGCAGAAAATCCACTGCGGGCAGTGCTGCGGCAATGGCAGGCGCCAAAGCAGGGGCTGCGGCAGCATCCGCGGCCGCCTTCGCTGCATACGGGTACAACGTGTCTAAAGGTACGGAGGCCCGGGGTGTGGGGAGGGCCCCCTTCAGGGAAGGGACAGTCTGTTGAGCATCCGGCCAGGTAAAGCAGGCAGGATACTCCAATCCAGGAGTCTCCTGCCCAAAGCCCATATCGAGCTGTGCTTCTGTGGTGAGCGGTCCTGACTCTCCCTTGTCCTTGTGGCTAGTACAGGGCCACCTTCAAGGTGGAAGTAGCTGTGAAAAGAGAGCCGGATTTCTGGACTGTGCTACTTTAAACAATCAGAATTATTTCTGCTTTGAGAACAGGTGTTTTTCCCAAGCCCCATATTCCAGTAATTACATCTCAGTAGTGCAGGCTAGCATAGTTACGTTTACCCAGCAATGTGATCCATCACCTGAGGTATTAAGCACTTGCTGTGTGCATAGGATACAACACATGGACCCTGCTCTTGGGTATGTAATAGAAGTAGGAAGGGAAAGCTGTACGTGGAGTATGTTTAACAGCAGTACAAGGCAGTTTGTGTGCACTGAGTCAAAAAAGAGAGAGAGGCCTTAATTGTGGTTGTAGATCAAAAGGAGGAAACACAGACGGATGACAGAGTAGCCAGACCATAATTCAGAAGGAAGAAGGGTGAGGAAAGATTTAGACTGGCAGCGAAATTGGCAGTGCAGGTGGACATATTAGGGTTTACCAAGCAGGTCAGGCAGGCTGCTTTGAAAAAGAGCAATGGGAGTCAAGGTTGGCAAGACTGGAGGGGCAAGAGCTTACCCAGGATTTAACAATGGGCTCTGGAAAATTTGAGAAAGGAGGTGGCTGTTGTGACCATGACAAGGTGGGGAGGGGGTGGTAGTTGTAACAATGGAATGCAAGACATCCAAGATGGTAGTAGGGGAGTTCCTGTTTACTGACCTCTCTCCCCATTTAAAACATGGGCTCAGTATTTGCCTAGTAGGGTTTTTGTAGCAAGTAAGGGCTTTATTGAGTAGAGTGCTCAGGAAGTGCTAGTTTACCTCCCCTTCTGCCTCCTGTAGGAATGCCAGCTGTCATTTATTTGCTCAAGTACTATCTAATAGAGGGAATATGCTAATTGACCATCACTCCATCACAAAGATGGCTGCACCCACAGCTGTGGCCAGGTTCCCATAAGGAGCCTTAACAAGCAATCAGCAGGGACCTGAGGCCACGCCTCCCCACTCCCATAGGGGACCTCAGGCTGCGTCCCCTGACCTGGCAGCACTTGACCGAGGACCTCAAGGTGCATCTCCAGTGCTGGGTCGGGGGAACTCAGGGGACCTGAGGCTGCGTCCCCCTGCAAGTGGGGCTTGATAGGGAACCTTAGGCCATGTCCCCGACCCTGGTCTAGGCTGGGGGACCTCAGGCCATGCCCCCCATCCTGGCACAGAGCCAAGAGACCTGAGGTTTCACCCCCTTCCCGGCAGGGTTTGACAAGGATGGGACTGGCTGGGTCTGCATCTAGCCCAATGAGGGTGGGCGGGCAGGGACTTGACTCTGGGTCCCGTGGTGAGCCCCAGATTCTGACAGGAGTAAAGTTTTCATATACATTTTACTGATTTTCTTTCATCTCTGACACTTCTATTATAGAGAAAGGGTAAATAACAATATTAAATTATTTCCTCTAATTAATCCCCTTTTAATGTGCACGAATTTCATGCACCGGGCCACTAATGTAAAGATAATAAGCCAGTGTTTCTTAACCCTCATTACGTCTTTGGAAAACAACAATCTTGCCAGCAGCCAAGGCTGTTGTGGCAGAGTCTCCCTCATCACACTTTCTCCTGGAGCCCTGAGCTCCAGCGGGCAGGAGGGACGAAGGGGGCAGCACGGCTAGCGTGTCACAGAAAAGTCAGCCGTGCTTGCCTGGCCAGCTAGCTCAGTCGGCTAGAGCGGCAGTCGCCAACCTTTCCGATCTCACGGACCACCAGTTGGCGGCCCGAGTCAAAATATCTTCCTGATTGTTGTGGGTTTGATCCCCAGTCAGGTCACACAGAATCAACCAATGGCCTTGCAGGTTTGATTCCGTCAGGGCACATACCCAGGTTGTGGGTTCAATCCCCGGTCAGAGTGTGTGCAGGAGGCAGTCTATCAATATTTCTTTCTCTCTCTCCCTTCCTCTCTAAAAATCAATAAAAAATTTAAAAAATCAACTGATAAATGCATAAGTAGAACAAATTGGCGTTTCTTCTCTCCCCCTTTCTTCCTCTCTCTCTCTTTTAAAAAACAACAACACATTAGTGCCTAGAAAGTTACAGCTCAGCCTCACCCTTGGCTTCCCACATGGTGTAGTGTGTGTTCTGTCCTTGGGCGCCAAGGTGGTATCTTAACTCCCTGCCGATGAGGCCATGTGGGCAGGGCTGTGGGTGTCATATTTCTATTTAAAAAGTACATCCCTCTTACCGAAAACAAAACCGTTGACAGGAAGAGCAAGCAAATGTGCTAAGAGGAGATTGGCAGGAGGGGTCCCCGCTCCTTCTCCTCCAGCCCAGACTCCAGGAACCAAGGTCATGCCTGAGGCAGCTCAGACAGAACTGGTGCTCACGCTCTTGTCCTTCTCCATTTCTACAGGAATCTCTGCCAGCAGTCCTCTGCAGACATCTATGGGGCGGCCTGCTGGCCTTGCTGACTTTGGACCTTCAAGCGCCTCTTCTCCCTTGAGTTCCCCTTTGAGCAAAGGAAATAGTGTTCCTGGGACTCCCAAGAGCCTCCACTTGACCAGCAGCCTGGCCCCAGACTCCCTGGCCCGGAAGCAGGGCAAAGGCTCCAACCCGTCTGGAGGATGGTAACCGCCGAGCCTCCAGCTTCCTTCAACCAAACCCCGTGCGAGAGGTCTAGCCTGCACATGGTCTTGGGTGGCCTGCCCAGTGCAGCCTCTTCCATCCCAGGGCAGAGGGCAGAGTGACCAGTTGCAGCGAGTGAAGGACGGCAGGTGGTCAGTGTGAGCACTTTGTCACCTGTGGCTCAAGAAGTGTGCTCTGGGGGTGCCTGTGGGAAAAGGCCCAAGGACGGGGACCAGCCCCGCAGCATCTCGGATGAACGTCTTAAACCTCATCCGGGGAGGGCCGACAGCCCCTGCAGATGCTCAGGCGCGCTGTCTCGTTCCCATTCCGCCTTCGGCTCTGGTCCTGTCCCTTGGAAAGGCCTCACAAGTGCGGCGAAGAGCCTTCTGTGGTAGAAACTTCTTTTAGAGCTGGGATTTCCTATAGGACTAGGAAGGAGGAAATCATGTATCTGGCATGCCCAGTCTTTGGGTAGCTGCCCAGGTCTCTCAACCCCATTTGTCAGTGTCACCGTTGGAGAGCAGTGAGTGCGAAAGGCAGGAGTGGCTGTGAGGGTGCAGAGCGGCCTGGAGGCAGTTGTTTTCCTAGCATTTCCTCCCTGTCCTGCATGGTTCACACCAGGGAGCCTTCAGGTCCCACCAGCAGCAGTAGCAGCAGCTCCCACCCTGGGACTCCCAGAAGCCAGTAAAGAAAGAGACCAGGAGCCACGCCCATCAGCAGGACAGCCCCCCGCCCCTCCTACAGGCTCCCCTTGCCCCTTCCTGAATGCACAGTCTCCCCACCCTCGCCCTTCAGCCCCCTGCTTGGCTGTATGCACTGTCTGTATTGCACTGAGAAAGGAAGGGACAGCAGGAGTGAGGAGGAGAGGATGGAGAGGGGGCAAGCTCAGCACCCACCCTCCCAGCCCCGCCCCGCGGCCTGAGCTTGCTTCCCTCCACGAGAGGCTAAGGAAGGTGTCTGCCGGGCGGTGTCCGGCCTGCCGGCCTGGTGTTCCTGGTGGAGCAGGTGCTTCCAGGCGAGCCAGCCTCTAATTTGCACACATGAAATCGCGGAATTGAATTTAGATAGATTAATTTTTAAAACTTTTTTTTGGAGTAGGGGTGGTAGGGGAATCATTTAATTTAAATCATTAAGATTTCCCTGCCCAAACCCAGACTCCTATGTACAGATGCTATTTAGAGGGAATCAGAAAAATGCCAAGCCTTTTTTCTCTTTGAATGTGCTGTCTATTTTTATAACTGAACTTGTACATATGTATAAAGAGAGACACATCTTTCTTTTACTAACTGGAGAAAAAAATCTTAAATAAAATGGAGTGAGATAATTTTATGTAAATTGGGGTGTCTGTGGTCTTTGCAGCTGCCTCTCCTTAAGGGTGTTTTGGGTTTTGGTGGGGTGTATGGCAGGATAAAGGACAGCCCCAACATCGTGCCTATGGTCGGAGGGGACAGGTGATCGGTGGGCAGGGCTGTCCCTGTGGCGTTTCTTCGGTGGTATCCTGGATGGGATTTATGAGTTTGCCAAGGCCCTTGGGGTGTGGTCTGGTTACGACTAGGAACTGGACTCCAGGATCAATTTTGCCTGCCTTGTATATAAAATCTCCATCTAATAGCAACTTCCTGGTCCCAGTTTCTAAAGCTGTGATATGGCCCAGCTGGTGTGGCTCAGTGGTTGAGTGTTGACCTGTAAAACAGGAGGTCACGGATGGTTCCCTGTCAGGGCACATGCCCGGGTTGTGGGTCAATCCTGAGTAGGGAACCAAAGCAGGACGCAGCTAATCAATGATTATCTCTCATCATTGATGTTTCTCTCTCCCTCTCCTTTCCTATCTCTGAAATAAATAAGAACATTAAAAAATAAACAAAAAACAATGATATGTATACAAATACATGTGTATAAACCCCAGAAAGTAGCCCATTTGAAGTCTCAGTACACACTGTGGATCCATTAAGCCAGCAGAGATACAGTAAGTCCTCTAACATCCTCGATAGGTTCTTGAAAACTGAAACATTAAGCAAAATGAGTAGAAGAAAACCGACTTATATGCCAAGTGATATAAATAAGGATTAAGTTCCTGTAGAATATTATTGGTCACAAAACATCACTAAGTTTCTAAATAAACTCCCAAAATATTTCTAATACTAAACATTGGGATAAATATGAGCTATACATAAATTTAATAAAGATTAATAAAAATAAGATAATTATTTCCCGAACTGCTTATTCCAGCTCATGTCTTTGGTGCTGGAGTCTGTTCCAGCAGCGCAAGGAAGACCCAGCCCTGGTCAGGATGCCCTCCGTCACGGCACTCAGCCCCTGCTCGCTCAGTCCGGAGCATCTTAGACCCACCAGGTTACCCAACACGCATGTCTGGGATGTGGAGGAAACCAGAATATCCTGAGAAACTCATGCACACATGGGAGAACATGCAAACTATACAGACAATGGCCCTGCCGGGAATCGTTTTTTCCTCTTCAACCTTATATAATAATGTAACAACTTTGCTCTAGGACCTGCTATATGCTATAAGACATACTGTGCCAGCAACTCAGTATTCTCACGGTTAGCTGTGTTTGTAAGAATCATGAAAGAAAGCAGTGAAATGGGTTACTAGGAATTCAGAGACATCCAGGCTCTGAAAACAGCTCTCTTTTCAGTTGGAAGCCTGGACCGCAGTTGGTGTCTCTGAGCTAAAACGCTAGCGTGCTCTTGCATCACCTCTGAGCAGGCTCACACCGCTCCCATGTTTGCTGGCAGTGTGGCCTCCGGGCTTTGGCGCACCCTGCACCCCCTGGACGGGGTGGGCTGGCTCTTGAGCAGCTGCTGCTCACCCAGTCACAAGATCCCGCCTCCTCATCTTGTTCTCAAGTAGCATTGTCAGACACGGGGCCTTGTTCTTCCTCAAAAACTTGACCAAGGCCTCACACACACAGAACAAACCAGTGTCAGTTTCCCGACTAACCTTGCCCTGTTGTCCTCACCGCTGTGGCTTCTGGTGGGTTCTCTCCAATTACTAAGCAAGGCCTCTGACAATCCTGCCCGAGCCTTGCCAAGGCCGCATGGCTGCCTCTGGGGATCCGGCAGCTCAGATCCCTGCACGGCTTTGCTCTCCAGAAAAGTTTTGGATTAGCACCTTCCAATCTCCTCTGACCCCAAACACAGCCGTTTTCAATTCAATCCCCGAAGAAACAGCCAACAGCCTAATGTGCCTTCTTACCTGAGGGGAGAGATGGAACTTGAATCTTAAAAGTGAAGTTTTCAAACTCATTAACCATTTCCAGTCCCGAATTCTTGTCCTGTCTACCCCACTTTCTGCAGACTTGTCCATCTCCCGTGTGAGAGCTAGGTTACCTTATGAATCCAGGGAGCCAGTCCCTTAACACCCCACCCCCGCTCAGCTAAAGACCGGGCCCACAGTGCAGGTGTGGGCTACACTGCGGGCCGGCCCTTCAGCCTCGGTCACCTTGCCATGGGAGCCGGCTCTGGGAGTCCTCGGTAAGTGAACTTGAAGATGGATCTGTCTGAGCAGGCCTGGAAATGCAGGGCCTGCATGGGGCTCACTATCCATTTCTGTGCTAGAGCTTTGTTGAAGCAGGCAGGACTCTGGAGACCACCCTGGGACTTGCGTGGGTCTCTCTGGTCCTGAGGGTTGGGCTGGGCGAGGAGACCGGTCGTCCTCACTGAGCAATGAGCTGCGTTTTTCTGTGCAGCCTTGCCCCATGTCTGCCAGCCTGTTCCATCCCGAAAGTCTCGCTCTGGCTCTCACATGCAGTCCGCACACGTTGGTTCTTCACGGCATATTACCCGCCATTCGAAATAGTTCCTTAGCTCCCTGAGGCCCTAGCTGGTGTGGCTCAGTTTGTTGAGCATCATCCCATACACCAAGAGGTTGCCAGTTCAATTCCAGGTCAGGGAACATGCCCAGGCTCCATCTCCAGTAGCGGGACAGGCAGGAGGCAGGCGATGGATGGTGTTTCTTGCATATCCATGTTTCTTACTCTTTCGCTAAAATCAATAAAAACATCTATAATAGATATAATAAAGATGTAACATGCAAATGGTTGTTAAGCCGTGAAGCATAGGACTGACTGCATAATGACCGGATCATGGATCAGCAGGAGGGGCCAGGGCAGCAAGCTATTGGGGGGGGGGGGGGGGAGCAGGGCAGCAAACTATTGGGGGGACCCAAGGTGGGAGCTACTGGTGCACGAGTTTGTGCGCAGGGCTACTAGTATTTTTATAAAATAGCAAACTGTAGCTCTAGTTCGTGTATAGAGCACTGGCCTGGGTACTGAAGGGTCCTGGATTTTATTCCTGTCAAGGGCACGCACCTCAGTTGCAGGTTCGATCCCCTGCCCTGGTCAGGATGTGTCTTTCACATTGATGTCTCTCTCTGTCTCCCCCCCTCCTTTCCACTCTCTAAAAATCAATGGAAAAATATCCTCCCGTGAGGATTAACAAACGTTAATGCATAAATAAAATGTCAAACTGAGGGGCTTGGGCAAGATGAGTGGTTTTAGCTGCCGCTGGGGTTTCAGAGATCCTCAGGTGTGAGTTGCGGACCTCTGAAACCAACAGGGTTGCCATGAGAGATGAGCTAAAGGGCTACGAGCCTCCCAGATGGCGGAGAGCAGCTTTCTCTTTCAGGTAAAGGTTTTGGGTGGAGGTGAGCTGTAAGAGAAGAAAAACCTCTAAATCATTCCTTAAAACAATGCTTCCCAAACTTTTATATGCATATGAATCACTTTGGGATCTTCTTAAAATGCAGATTCAGTTTTGGAAGATCTAGGATGAGATCTGAGACTGAATTTCCAGGACATCCCAAGTGCTGGCCCTGCTGCTAGTGCTTAGGCCACACCTGGAGTTACAAGGCTTTGGGGCAGCCTCCCGCCTCCATTCAGAATAAACTGCCAGGCAGCCCTGTGTGGGAAATACAACTTTATTTTCCCTGTTTTTCATCTTAATCCACCTAATGACAGAAAATGTGATCTTAGCATCTCCAGGAA